ATATATATATATATATATATATATATATATATATATATATATATATATATATATATATATATATATATATATATATATATATATATATATATATATATATATATATATATATATATATACTTGCAAGGGTGGCATATTTTACAAGTAGCGATCACTCGACACGTATTGGTATATATCGGTAAACACTACATCCTGGGAACGGATATACATTTTTATTCAATTACTAGTATACACCTACATCTGAAACACCTACTTCTGGATACCATTGACACCTCCATCTAGATAACATGCACACCGTCATCCGGCTTACCCCTGGTTCTCAGTATATACCTTAATCTGGATTCCAGTGTTTGCCTACATCTGAATTACTGTATGCACCTACATCTGGATCTGTATATACACTTACACCTGATTATCGGTATGCACCTTACTCTGAATACCGATATACACACCTCTGAATACCGGCACGCCCATGCGTCGCAGCTAGCCATAGAGTTCCGCACGCACACTTATCTTGAGCATGCAGCTGTGGCTATAGACTCGTGGCTCAGCTCGTTATGTAATGAGTGCAGGGCTGAGTTAATTACTACCAGCCTATTGGACTATTCGACTTCTCTCGATTCAGCTCAACCAGTGTGATCTGAAGGAGACGTCACATGCACGGGAGTGCGTATGATTGAGGGCCAGTTACTGGGGGGGGGGCTGTAGTAGTCCAGTCTTTATCGATAGTTTCAGTAGTCCAGTCTTTATCGATAGTTTCAGTAGGCCAGTCTTTATCGACAGTTTCAGTAGTCCAGTCTTTATCGATAGTTTCAGTAGTCCAGTCTTTATCGATAGTTTCAGTAGTCCAGTTTTTATCGATAGTTTCAGTAGTCCAGTCTTCATCGATAGTTTCAATAGTCCAGTTTTTATCGATAGTTTCAGTAGTCCAGTCTTTATCGATAGTTTCAGTAGTCCAGTCTTTATCGATAGTTTCAGTAGCCCAGTCTTTATCGATAGTTTCAGTAGGCCAGTCCAGTCTTTATCGACAGTTTTAGTAGTCCAGTCATTATCGATAGTTTCAGTAGTCCAGTCTGTTTCGATGGTTTTAAGAGCCTCAAGCCCGCCCATCCCACACGCCAACCTAAGTGTCAACGTGTCAAGCTGTCAATGAGTCATAGTTCTAGCTAGGCATGTCCGTGTCTACTAGTTAGCTGAGTGTGTCGATTGGCTGTCCGTGTACTCAGATAACACTCGCGTCTACGCCAGCGCGTTCATGGCTCTGGTCAGCACTTCTCTATACGCTCTCACTCGACCTTCTCACTATACCCCATGCCTAAACCCCTCCCTATATACTACACCCGTGCACATGTCCTTGTTTTATTCTGATGTCGGGTTACATCTCCTGTCTTCGCTCCACAGGGCTTTCTGAATCTGCTGCCGGTGTACCTAGACCACATTCTCTTCCCCACAATCACGGACAGCGGATGCCACACAGAAGTGCACCACATCAACGGTAAAGGAGAAGACAGCGGGGTGGTGTACGCTGAAATGCAGGCACGGGAAAACAAGTGCTCGAGTCTCATGTACCATCGTCTGCAGG